GAATTGGAATAGATGCAGTTGAACCGAGTGGAGAAGTTATTGCAGCAGCATACGAGTTGCACTGATCGATGATTAGAAAATACTTAATGGCATTAGTCATTTATATTGAGAATGAAGGTGAGTGAGTCAAGCAAACCACGAGAATGTGGATGGTGTGGGTGTGGGTGTGTGGGTGTGGGTGTGTGAGTGTGGGTGTGGGCGTGTGGGTGTGGGCGTGGGGGGTGTGGGTGTGAGGGTGGGTGAGTGTGGGTGGGTGTGGGTGGGTGTGAGTGTAGGTGTGGGGTGTGGGTGGGGTGTGGGTGTGAGTGTGGGTGTGTGGATGTGGGTGGGTGGGGGTGTGGGGATGGGGGTGGAGGTGTGGGTGTGGATAGAGATAAGACTCACACCCACACCCACCCCCACCCACACCCCGCACCCACACTTCGCACCCACACACACCCATACCCACACCCCACACCTACACTCCACACCCACACCTACACCCGCACCACACCCCCTCCCACACCCATGTTCAGAATATTTTCTTGAAAGATAAAAATCAGCAACTCCAATATGACCATCAACTTCTAGAATTTTTTTTTGCATTATCGATTGCCAAAATCCAATCAGGAATCATAGTTAAAGAATAAGAAAAAGTAACTAGATGGATTTTTTTGTTCTTTAGGTTGCCAATTGGTTGCATATGTTTCTATTATTTCAACATTTGTCCATCCATTTTGTTTAATTCGTTGTACTGCATTTTTTTAATAAAGATGGACTTAGATCTACTAGATAAACTTTTGTGAAATATTTTAACCTATCCAATTTTGTCATATATTCAATGTTAAAACCTGTATCATCACCCATATCAACGCAAATTCCACCAAATGTCAATTTATCTAATAATGTTTCTGTACAAGTAAGTAATTTTTTTCTATATGAATCATAATTTTTAGCTTGATCAGCATAGAAATTTTCTAATCCTTCTTTATGTGTAGTACCACGTATAGGTGACAATATAAGATGATAAATCCTTTGAATTTCATTAAATAATCAAATAATAATGCTAATTATTCCAATTGTATCCAAACAATTTGTATTATTAATTCGAAAAATTTAGTATATCATTAAGCGAAGAGAAATTTGTAATTATGATCTTGAGCTTCATTTCTTTCAATCTTTATCTGAAATATTTTTATATATATAGAATGGAATTCTAGTGAAAATACTCATCAAGTGAGTACGACTTTTCAGCATGAATACTCGTACCAGTTTTTCTTTAGAGATCTACTCATAGACAGATATATTAGTATTCATGGTCGTTTTTTTTTGTAGAATATTTAACAAAACACTTATTCCTCTATTTCTTTTTCATGAGTCACTTACACAGCCAAAAATAAATGTTGATTTTTAGAAAGAAAAAAAAAACAAAAACGATTTTTCATTTCTATTTGTTAACCTAGGTGAGATTGAAATTTTTTGTATGTTTTTTTTGTATATTACCAGATGAATGCAGTTAGTTATGAATTTAAGAATGTCTGTTTGATTTTTTTTTTATGTAGTAAGCAATACTATATGTTAATTTTGTATTACATTTTTCATTATCACCGAATCATTTAGTATTATATCTACTTGATTGTATTTTACTGCTTCTCAATTTGTATTTTATTGTACTCTTGCTATTTAAGATATAGACAAAAAGAATCTTCAATCTTGATCAATAGAGAAATATAAATTATTATTAAAATGCATAAAAATATTAATGACAAGTGATTTTTTGAGTAAGTTACAAACAAGGCATGGATTAAAACAAATATTGTTTGTGAATTTTGAGTTTCGATATATTGAAAAGAAAATAACTTTGACAAACTAAATTTCCAAGATTGATTTTTCTGAAAAGTTTGTTATCATTAAATGAACTTTTAATATAACATTATAGGAAAAATTCTTCTCCTTAAATCTATTACTTACACATAAAGAATAACAATATATACCAGTATTTTATCCAGTGTTAGATTTGATGGAGTTGTACCTCTGAGGAGATCGATCTTGTCCTTCCTGGAATTTGTGACTATTGTGTTTTATACTATGCATTCACGGTCTCATCATTGAGCATTTGTTAATGAATGATTTATCGAAAAAAAAATACCAATATGTAACGTAGTTTAAGAAACACTTGACTAAACCTTGTATGAGTGCAGTTTTCGTGCTTTTTCACTATTGTTGACGCCAAAATAAATTCATTTCGAGATTCTTTTTTGAAAATTTCACGAAGAAAATTAGCTAGAAACTTACGAGTTTTACTATTCCAAAGAAAAATGTAGGCGAATTAAAATTGTCCTGATTTATTTTTACTTTGGTTTTGGTCAAACTTATCAGATTTTGCTGTAGAATTTGATCAGACATTTGCGAAAAATATTTCTCAACTAACTATAAAGTTCAATTGAGCCAATCGATAACGAAGACATTTCTTTGTTGCTGTACGCAAAACTAATTCTTTTACGTTATTTCATTCAAAAGTTATAAGGGTGTGCGTTAAGAAAATGCTCACATCGATATCCTGTGTCTACTTTTTTTATCTCTTCTGCATATAGCCTATCTATGTATATAATCTTAGTCGAAATAAATGGCACATTTGATTTGTTTTTTTATAATAACAACTAAAGGGGAGATTAAAAAAAAAAGTGCAAGAATATTCATGGCTATCTCAACACATTGTTATTCTAATAGACGAGTATTTTACTAAGCAAGTTTATCAATGATATTTCATACGAATGTTTATTTGCATATTTCTTCCTAGACAAAAATGTGAATAGTCAATGTAGTACTCATACGAGTTTTTCTACAAAGCATTTAATAAAACATGTATGTACTTCTATGTAAACAAGAAAATTAAACTTATTTATTTATATGAAGAAACGAAAAACAAAAAACATTATTTTATGACTTGTCTTCTATTTCAACTTGTTTTCTTGTCATAAATAACACTTTTACGAATATAATGAATAGTGACACTTTGTACAAGAATAAAAAGAAAAAGAAACTTCATTTTCAACAAATATTTTTTTTCTAGTTACATATAACATTCATTTAAAATTCTCAATAAAGAATTTGTTAGATTCTAACTTTTGACTTTAGTTACACATCGGCGAAGATTTTAATTATACTGGGTGTGGATGTGTTTGCATGAGGAGAAAAACCCATACTCTCATGATGTCCTAATATTTCAAAGGTAAGTTAAGATGACAGCTATATTTGTCCTCTTCACATAAGGAACTTCATAGAAAAGACTAAGAACAAAAATATATTGTCTCGTTTATATAACAGTTCCAGTGTAATTAGAATTTCATCAAAGAATTTTAAAGCGTTGAAAAAAAAATTAAATTTAAAAATTCAATGTGTAATCAATTTAACTTCGTGAAACTGTTTCTTAAGAAATAAATGAAAAATTAAAATGATATCCTATCTAATGAGTTTTATTTCAACCAAAAACAAAAACAAAAAAGCTGATAATGTTATGATTTTCCTTTCGGTAAAATGCCATCTGACAAGAATGTTGAAATATAAAAGAAAGTTCTTGAATTCTCGCTATCCTTTGCTTCTTAGACGAAATGATAGATACTTTAACAATGACTAATTATACATGGTGACATAGATATGTTTTTAAAAATAAAATTTATTATCTACTTTTAATAATTATTAAAATAAAAACTGATTAATTTACTGTCCAAGCAAAAAGAAAAAACTCAAGTTTATTGGAGTTAGAAGACAAAGGTTGTTCAAACCAGAACGACAAATAATGATCAAATTTTCTATAGCTTTTAGTGAATTGTCTTAGAAATTTCACACCAGAATAAAAGCCTATTCGATACATAATTTGTTTTGAAAATTATAAGTATCAAGATGAACTTCTATAGCGATCAACTTTTTTTTCGTTTTGTAGAATAATTTATAGAAATTTAGAAGTAAATATAAATTATAATTCCATTTACTTGTATAATTTCGTTTGTTTGCATCAAGTCGAATCTTCATTGGAAAAAAGTTTAACAGAATTTTACAAAGATATATGTCACATGTTTCAAAATTTTATCATCACACAAAAAAAAAACACCAATATAATTTAACAAAAGAATATAATAAAAATATCACGAACTATTTTTTTCCAATACGGAAGCCATATACATTGAACATAATCAACAAAATGAATCATTTTCTTGATTTTTTGCTATATGTACGCATTTCTAATTGAGTGAATTTCTATTATGTTCGGAAAATTATAATCATAGAAGTAAATTTCTTTGCTGGAAGTGGTTTTATATCATATCAATTAAAGTCAAACTCTTAAGACATTACCAAGATGAGTGACATTCATTAGCTAAATTATTCAAAACACATGTATCAAAGAGTGGCTTAGATTTGATACGAGACAATTTTGAAATAATTTTTTCGAAGTCGAAACAAGATCAAAATTAAAGAACAAGAAAAAATTCGGTCTCATACATCTCATCAGTCTTGATAAGAAAATTAATTAGTACTCAGCAATTTATTGTTGATTATGGACAAAAAAAAAATTTCCTTCGTAATTTGGTTATGATGAACTTGAAGAATATATCTCTGGATAATTTAATGTTTAATATTCATCAACTCTAATGAATATCTTTTGTTGACTTATAAAATGTTTTTTTTGGTTTTTAACAACATAGATAATTTAGTTATTTTTCAACCATCATGTTTTTTTTTCTTGAAGAGTATTGGCTAAAAGAGGTTTTTTTTCTTGTCTATTCTATCCATTAATATTCGAGATCTATCTAACACCGAACTATATAATAAAAGAAAAAAAAAGAAATCTAGAATTTTTATTCATTTATTTAGACATGAATCTCATTTTCTTAATCTTTCTTTTTCAGTCTAGATCATTCTAACAGATAGTATCGTATGCATCAATGAATTTATTTTATGATAAAGAAAAAAAAAAAGAAACTTTTGTCTTTTTATAAATTTTATTGTATTAAATATTGATTATGGATAATAATGAAATAATAAATAATACTAATTCATACGATTATGAAGATGAAGAAATAATTATTCCATCACCTCAAGTACAATTTTGGACATATCTTATATTTCAAATTCCATCACTTGCTTGTATTCTATATCTTCTTTATTATTTATTATTGAATCGAAAATTACGTATACAATTAAATAATCATGTTGTAATTGTTTTACTCGTTCTATGTTTTATTATTTTAGTTATTGATCATTCATTATATCTTGATGCATGGAGAATAGTTCATGGAAATTCATTTCCATTTTCATCATTTTTATGTCTTTTTTGGTGGTATATTGATTATGGATTTTATGGTGCAGTATATGTATTTCTTGCCTGGGCTTCATTTGAAAGACATATACTCATATTTTATCGACATCAACTTCTTAATACTCAACGAAAAATTTTTTACATGCATTATTTTCCTTTAATAATTATTTTAATTTATCTAATTAGTTTTTATATTGGAATAATTTTTTTTCCGCCATGTATAAATATATTTTATTCGAATTATTTAGCATGTGGTTCATATCCATGTTATCAAGATATACCATGGATAAATACATGGGATTATTTATTAAATGGAATTTTACCTAATATTTTAGAAGCATTTTTTACTATTTCATTAGTATTTCGAGTTATTTGGAGAAGATATTATTCATTTAGACATTTTAATTGGAGAAAATATCGAAAAATGATTATACAATTACTTGCAATGTCGACTCTTTCATTATCTATTATACTTCCTCAATCATTAATTTCACTTATACAACAAATTCATCCAACTATGAGTAATTTTGGCATTGAAGCTGAACCATATTTGTTCTATCTTACTGGTTATATTATTTTATTTTTACCATTTGTTTGTCTCGGAAGTTTACCAGAATTATGGCCAAAAGTATTCTTTTTATGTCAAAAACGTCAACATAGAGTCCGTCCTATCAGGACAATAGCTGCTAATGGTGGAGCATAAGCTTTGATAAGAAGAAACGATACGTAACCTATTATTTATATGAATAGAAAAAAAAACCAACAAAGAGAAGACTTTGATCAATCGAAGTAAACTGAAATTGTTTTCGTGTTTTTTTTATAGCTGTAAAATTTAATTCATCATAACAATAAAAATATTCATCAATCATCAATGTAATTATTAGCAAATGTTAAAATTTGTATCAATAAACTTTGCATTATTGAAAATATTTTATTATAAACCGTTTCTTTCTCACAATAGACATAGTACACAAGAAAAGTGATAGATTTTGCTTAGAAACTTATGGTTTATTTCAAATTGATATTCTTTCTATTGTACATGTTAATTTCATAATGACACTGGTGAAAGTTTATTCAAATAAATTTCTTTTTTTTTCTTAAAAAAATGCTCTAGATCTATTTTTTTTCAAGAATAAATTCATTGGAAAGAGTAGTAGAAATTCATAAATATATGATTGAATAAATAACTGCTACGAAATACATTAAAATTTTTTTGTCAGAATTCACAATTTATTTATTTCAAGCTTTCAATGAGTACTCTCACTATCGTTAGGAAATAGTAATAATAATAGAGAGAAGTATTACATATATACGATCGGAAAAAAAGTTACAGTCTGTATTTCAGCTAAATCCTTACCATAAAAACGTATTTAAAAAAAAAACAAATTACATATTCTGAAAGCTCGTGAAGTTTTTTATCACTGTGTATAATTAGGTTTTAGTTTGCACTTATGTATTACCAAAATAAATTAAGCACAATGAAGACAACTTCAATCGACAAGTGCGAAAAATTCATATTTTTCGTTATTATTTTTTTCACTTTCTACGTCCAATTATAAGTACAAAGAAAATAAGTTTTTCCAATAGTAATTATGCATTCTGATAGAACTTCAAATTCTCTATCATCTTGTATATTTTTGTCTTATCTTGCATTAATATGCTGAAGAATAATTTGAGTATTTTGCAGAAGTTCTCCTTGGCAAACTATAGAAGACTAGATTTTTTTTAGGTATCTATTTTATTTTTTGATTTCAGAAGTTCAGAATGATCGAGAAAGTTAGTCAATATCAGAAGATATAATTACTTCTTTCAAAATTTATATCTGAAGTAATAATAAAAGTGATAATAAAGTGTAAAATAAAAAGTATAGTGATAGAAGAAATCCAATTTATTAAGGGTTCATAAAAAAGAATGTTTAAATACTACTCCAATTATTTTTCAGTATATAAATATAAGATAAGATCAAAATATACAGGATGATTGAGATTTTGAAGTTCTATCAGAATACATAATTACTTTTGGAAAAACTTATTTTCTTTGTACCTATAATTGGACGTACAAAAGTGAAAAAAAATAGTAACGAAAAATATGGATTTTTCACACTTGTCGATTGAGGTTGTCTTCATTGTACTCAAAGTATTTTGGTAATACATAAGTGCAAACTGATTTCATATAAGACAGCCATCAACAGCTGATATTTTAAACGAGTAGTTTAGCGATGAGGGTGATAATTTCTTCCGAATATGGTTAGATTTTTTAACTGATAATAGGAAGAAAGTAAATCGAGATATCTTATGATTGGCTATGCTCATATATACAACAAGATAAAAGACAAAAAGAACAAAGACATGTAATTAGATAAAGATATATATATACATCTTTATCTAATTTCATGTATCTTGTTAATTACTGTTCTGACTTTTTTCTTTGTTCTTTTTTCTTTTATCTTGTTGCATATATATATGTAATACTTCTCTCTATTATTATTACTATTTTCCGATGATGATGATGAGAATACTTACCGAAAGCTTGAAATAAATAAACTGTGAATTTTGACAAAAACATTCTAATGTATTTCATAGCAGTTATTTACTCAATCATATACTCATGAAGTTCAAATAGTTTTCAATTCATATGATCATTTTGCAGAAACATTCTCGTCTCATTTTTAATCAATATATTTCTTATAAGACAGTATTCACTTTTGACAACTAAAGAATGTCAACAAACGAAACTACTACCATCAATACTCTTTCACCATCCTATTCACTCAGATTTATTACCATAAAAGGTCATATAGTACCTGACGCTGGTACTCGTTTCTGTCTTTCGGCTATTAAAGTGACTTTCTGGTACTTTGTCACGAACTGTGTGGAAGTAGTTTGTCTAGCTCCGTTTATGGAATGCAGAGATTGTTTCTCATATTTCTTCAGAGCTTCCGGAGAGGAAGTAGCTCTTGAAAGGTAGCCCTTGGATGTTTGTGCGGGTTCGCTTAGTACACGTTGTCTTCATTTACGGTTTAATAGCACCACAATAATGTTTTATTTTAATCGTATTAGGTTCTTTGCTTTGTATATGAGAGTGTTGTCTTTCAAAGACTCCATGTATCCTTCGTAGAGGCGGTCGGTGCTCTGTATGTGTGTTTGTTTAAATAGTGCAAGTTAGTATGCTCCTGTAGCACAAATATCTATGCATCAATTAGTTCTTAGTTTGTTTATCTAGCAAGAATCTCGACAGTGACGGATCTAGGATTTTTATGATATCGGACGATTCATTGTGACTAGGGGCACTTCAGTGGCGGGGACGAGGAGCGATTATGATCATAGAACGTAGTATTAGTTTATTTTAAGACTTTTCTGCTGGGAAAAACGAAAAATTTCTTTGGAATTAGCTGTGATCGCCCCATTCCCGTCCTTAAATTCTCCACTGAATCTTGACTGTTTCCATTCCGGATCCATTAGAAAACCAGTAGAAATTCAGTCTGATGGGGAAATGTCGAAATGTGAATAGTGAAGTCAAAAAATATCGGAAAAAATGACACCTCTTGAAAAACGTCACTCTAATCACTTACAGCTCATTGTTATGTTTTTTTATAATACTTCTAGGCTAGATTTTCCTCGATTAGTAATAGAGATGAGAATTAGTTGATAGAAGCCTTTTAAAAGAGTTGTACGAAGGACTATCATATAACATAAAATTCTATCGTTGTGATTGAAGTTGTTACATCTTCAACACGTGTAACTCATCAAAATCTCTATGTATTTCATTGATCAGTTTACATTAAGCTAAATATTCACGGATAGAAGATGAATACTTCCTTGTAGATTGGATACAATAACCCCTATTACTAAATATTGAATATGTACAGCTAATGGATGTTTGGTTTTGAGAAGATTCAGGAGAAAGGCTAAAACAAGCGAAAAGAATTGCTAGTGAACATCATATAGATAGCCTTGGTGAATGATACTATGATAGTATGATAAATGTTATAGAACGGTTAGATGGTTTGGCATTTGCAGTTGTTAAACGGAAAAATGAGATATTATCGATCTTGCTGATCACTTATATTTGGTTTCTGTCATAATGTTAACACTGATTCATGTCTTAAAATATGCTTTTTGCTATTCAGATTCAGAATTCTCTCAAACATTTGGCGATCGTTTTCATATGCATATAATTTTTTCAAACTCTTCCCCAAAGACATTTTTTTCTTTCGATACTTTGTCGCTTCGTTCTTTCGATATTTTTCGTCTAAATCAAAGATTTTCTCCGGGTTCATATATTTTTCCTGAGAAAGTCAGTCAGTCGCGAGAAAAGGTTGCAGCTACGAGATCTGATAATTCTGACATGATTCGATCTAAGATACTTTAAGATTCTGACAAGATTACCATTAGATTTCAACTAGAATTTTGCCATGAACCCATGAATGTCGGGAAAAAAGTGTATAATCACGGAATTTCAGGATTCGCACAGGACTGGAAGCATGAATCTTTTCAGAATCCTAAACAGTTTGTGACTATTTGAGAACCAAGAATCTTTGAGCACACCTAGAGTGGATATGAACAAAACATAATCTTATATCAGCTAAAAGACTTCGCTGCAACAAAAACTCTTATGTGAACCCTTAAAAGCCGAATCGTCCTTCCAAGGGACATTCTATATCTCCATAAGAAAAAAACGAATTATTATTTTACTATCAATTATTTTTATTCAGGTTTCGGAACTTCTATTTTAGTGGTAAATTTTTAAATTTGTGACAATGAGGTCTTTCAGATTTTAGGAGTTAATAG